CAGTACAGACATCAGACATGTGTGTCTATGCATCTTGGTATCTTAGTCTGAGAGTTATGGCTATTTCCTCTCATATTCCACATGTTTCCGCTTATGAGATGTTTTAGGTAACCATCCTCCCCTGTAACCGAATTTGATTTGGTAGACGATATATAAAATTTGGTGAATATGTGCATACAACATTAAATATTAACTTTTCCACCACATGTACTGTGGGACAGAAATGTTCCTTTCACTTTCCTCTATTCTTTAGTTCATGATTTTTTATCTTTCCCTCTGTTTTTTATTGGTAGGCTTATAGAGAAAATATTTTCTGATTAAAGAAATTTTAAATAATAACAAACTAAAGTATTTTCCTAGTAGGTAGGATCAAATATGTGGATCAAATGTATTTCCTATCATTAATCATATTCAAAGGTAGACTATTTAAATCCAGATCTATCTTAATGGTTTGGATAATAATTTTCCTCGTACTCTCCCATAAACGATTGCCCTATTGGGTTTTCTCTAATGCGGTCTTCCCTCCTTAACAAAGCTACTGACCAAATCACATAGGCTGACACCACAATTTCGTTTTTACAATAGGAGTTTACTTGACATTTTCTCTAATGATTTCATTCCTAATGATCAAAGAAATCTTATTTGAACAAAACTATATTTCATCTTTTTGTTACTTTTTTTCTCACTTTTAAAGTTCTAACCGTTTAAGTAAAGACAACTGGGAAAAGCTTCATATCGGCAATCTCATCATGTCTCTGGTGGCTAGACATACCACTTTCTAAAACTATATGTTTGCAAATCAATCAAAGTCAATCAATTTCGGTGTAGAAGGAGTTTGATGTGGATTAACACTTGTCATACTAGTGTTATAGTTTGCAACATTCTAAAAACTTTTTTTTTCCTTCTGTTTGCAGTGTTTAACTTGGAGAAAACATTCAAAACAACATTCTCTTTGCTTATACTTCACATGTGGTTTTACTTGCGCCGCATTAAGCAAGAGGGAAGTGAGGGTGTTGAATTTGGGCAGTACCTTTATGAAATTTACAATCACGATGTGGAGCTTAGAGTGTCCAAAGCTGGGGTCAGTTGTCTTCTACAAATAGATATAGATATAATATTTTTACCGTAAATTCTTTTTCTTACAATTTTTCCCAAAATAATTTGAATACATGTAGTAATTGGCCTCTCTTGTTGAATTATGGTAATTTAATTTGAAATGCAGGTTAACCTACTATTGATTAAGTGGATGAAGGACCTTGAGAAGATATTTTATGGGAATATTGTTGCTTATGATGCTGCTATACTGCCAGAAGCTAAACCCGGTGATTTCGCTAGTATTATATGGAGGTAGGTTTTAGTATGAACTTATCCTCTTCACTGCTCTTTTTGCGCCCATTGAAAGTAGGAAACTGTTGATCAACCATTTGTCTGTTTACCACCGTTTGAATATTGATGAGTGAAGAAGCAGTCCTATACTCCTATTGTATACTTCATATAGAATTCTACTTTGTTCAAAGTTGTTAAAGTAATGGGTTTTAGATAAAAAGGATGAGAGAAGTACTAAGAGCTTGAATATTATTGATAATAACTTGATAGTAGCTTATACAAAAGACTAAACACTAACCCCTATAAATAGCGATACATGACTCCCAGTCATAATTAAATAGAGAAATCAGGACACAAATCATAATAATATTTCAGTAATATAAAATCAATTCCTAAGAGATAGTCTTAGATACTTTAAGATTCTAAACTGGTCTTGAAAAGTAAACTAATATACTCTTATATAATATCTTTGCTAGGATATTAGTATAACTGTATAAGATATTTTCTTATAAGTCGGAGGTATCCCTCACCTCACAAACCGGTTCTGTAGAGGTTAAGTGAAAACACAATTCAAATTCTAAGAAAAAATATATCCTTATGTGTTTTTTTTCCAGGAATATATTCTCAGACGATGGTTCTTCTACACCAGACAAAGCTGCATTGCAATCAGTGCAGGTATGCCTTCTAAGTGATGTTAAAAAATTCATTATATTTGTGGAACAGATATTATATTGTGTGCAACATCTCCTATTGTAAGCTTTTGGAAATGCGACATTTCCTCAAAAGTCTATCTAAACCGAGATGTTGAACTGAGAGACCAATTCAAGTCATACAATTTATTAGCCGTTAAGCATTCATCAATCGTCTTACTTCATTCAACTAACAGTTGAGATTCTCGGTTTAACATTCTGGCTTCGCTTGAAGAATTGTCGCTTTTATAATTTATATCTTTTGATATATTCTTAACATATTGGAGTCTCTCTTCCTGTCAAACCAAGGGAGCTTACAGCATCCATTTTTGGTTTTTTTCTGTTGCTAGAGCTCCCTATCTTTTGTATTCACCGCTGATTTGCCTCTCTGTCTAGAACTGTTTCCATAATAACAATATTGACGTGTTGAAAAGCTCTATCGTCACCAGCTTTTGCTATTCTTCTCTTTCTTTGACCTGATGCTTATAATTGCTTTCACAATGCTTATTATTTTCCTCAATTATATTGAGTATAACAACATTGATACTTACATTCAAGCTTTTATGTAGGCATTGGCCAGGTATGCTCAAAGGGAAGTAAGTTGCATGACTTTAACAGGTAAATAATAGCTGTTTCTGTATATAACATATTATGGATCTTGAAGTGGGCGAAAATCAACTGCTGCCCAATCTTATGAATAAGTACTTTTCCTCTCTTTCCACTTTGTATTTACTAAGTCATGGAATTTGAAATGTGCAGATAAAGAAGCATTATTATCAGGGAATTTCATGTTTACCTCTTTGAAGCATGAGATCAAAAGCAAAGAGGGGCACCAATTATAAAGTAATGGTTTCTAAATTTACAATTAAGTAAATGTAAAATACATGATGTTCTTATTTTTTAAAACATTTTTTTTTCTCAATAATCACGATATAAGATTGTATTGTTCTCCATAAAGCTTTATTATTTAGTTAGTTCTTGCTCACATAAACGAGAAAAGAAAAGGGCAGAAGTGGTTGATGAATGTTTTGGAGGGTTATGTTTATATACTCAAGATTATATTTTAATGATTGTTTAATTTAAAAAAAAGTCATTCCTTATTTTCAAACTTGTCCTCCCAAACAGACCTTTAGAAATCAATTATGACAAGTTTTAATAAAAAATAAGAGAAAAGTAGTGTAAATTAATTTTACACTATCAACTAATCACAATTTTGTATCAGAATAAATCATATTTTAATTTCAATTTTTTTTTTAATAACAAGACAGTTAATTGGCTTTTTATTGGATGGCAGTGTAAAATAATTTTACATTATCAGTACATATAAATTAAACCAAAAAAATAAATAATTTAATTGATATATCCTGACGGTGTAAAGTAGTTTTATATCATTAATTAATTATAATTGTCCGATTTTAATTGAGTTCAAAGTATGACATATAATAGTTGTGATGCACTGAATACTCGTAAAAATAATTGACACTGATAACTTTGAAATTAAACACAAATTATGACAACTTTTAATAATAATTGAAATCAATTAGAAAAGCCTGTACATGTTATGATTTTATTTAGGAGTGGCAAATTTTAACAAGAGCGGGACAAGTGTGCGAGTTCTGCACCTTTATGCTTAAAAATTCAGAGACTTAAGAGTGTGGGTCTAAACTCTTATCTTTTGGTGAAAAAAATGCTGGCAATATAGGGGGGTCCCATTTGGCTCCATGTATATATTGTGGTGGTAGTGCATGGGCATCATGGCAAAACAAAAAATGAAACCGTTTGAGGGGGGGACCGTAATAAGAGACAAATTGGTACGACTTTGCATGTTGAATTGAGACTTTAAAGACTAGTAACCAACAAATGATTCCATATGGACTCTAATCATTCCATATCATTACAATTACAAATCAGTTTTGTAAATGACAAGTAATTGTTTTGTAAAACGTTATTGAACTTTAGTAAATTAATTTCTTAAATATCAATACTACTATTAGATAGAGTATATCTTAAATAAAATTAAAATCTAAAATATTTGAAGAGCACATGTTAAAGATGATATTCAAAAAATATCAAATTTAATTTTTAAGTGAAAACAACGTTTGATTAAATCATTGTTTGATCAAATCATTGATTTGCTATACAGATCAGACACTGAGTGTGAAAAAAATTAGAATCTAGAATATTCAAATCTTATACCTAAAATGAGTAAAGGATGCAATTTATCTTCCATCAATCATTGATTTGTAATTCTCAAATAAACTAGTACATTTATTTATTACAACATTTGTGAAGATTTGTATAATATAAATCTCAAATAAATTATTGCATTTATTTATTACAACATTTGTGAAGATTTGTATAGTAGAATTCTAAAATATAATCTCAAGGGTTGTAAAGCCACCAAGTGTCTAATTTTGGTACACAGCCACACAAGTCACATTCATTTTCCCTCCCATCCCATCACCCACCGCCACTCTGTTTTCCCTTTTACTATAAATAAATTTTTTTTTTCTTTACTCCAAAATATAGTAATTTTTAAACACCAATTTGTATAATTTGCATTTGTCTAACTTGATTCGAGTAATATATTACAGTTGAACTATCTCGTAAATATTTAAATTTGTCCTTATCACTACAATTTAAAAGAATAAAAAAGTAAGGTGAAAAGGAAAAGACATGAAAAAATGAAGCATAATGACACTAACAAACAGCCACTGTCCTTATATGCATACATTTCTATCATCTAACCAAAATCATAAAATTCATCACTATATTATTCCCATTTCATCACAGCCTGTAACACCAACAATTTTTTGTTCTTCAAAGAAACAAACAATTCTTTAAGATAACTTCAAATATTTTCAACTATTCCATGTGATTTCTTACTAATTTCTCTTTTTTTTTTTTTTTTTTGATTCTAAGTTAAAGCTACTTTCCTTTTACAACAGTTCATACATTCTGTGAATCTGGTTTTTTCCATTCAGCATGTGGGAATCTGAGAGTGATTCAGCTGCTAGACACAAATATGGAGATGGAATTCTCACTTCAAACAAACATACTGTTAAGACTCAAGGATTTCTTCAAAGAGGTCACTCTTGGTATGTTAATTATATAGAGGTGCAGTTTGTTGTATGTTTTGATTATAATTATATATTATATATAATTAAATTTTGCTTAATTAGTAATACTTTAGTACCCTTTGAAAATGTTACTAAAAATCTAGTGTTTTTTTAATGCAGGTATGTTGCAACTGATATTCCAAGTGATTTTCTTGTTCAAATTGGAGAAGCTAATTTCCACTTACACAAGGTATCTTTCAATTTATTCAATCTACGGTTTTTCGTAATTTTAAGACTTAAATATGTTTTTAGTCTATACAAAATTCCGTGATCTTTCGACTTTAGTCCTTGTTTAAAAAGTCGTAATTTTCTAGGGATTAAAAACATATTTAACCGTACTTTTAATTCTGAGATATTGGGCTCTATAAGTTGTGCTACTATATGTTGAGTGTGATTTGTGGTTTTTGTTGTGAAAGTATCCTCTAATATCTCGAAGTGGAAAGATGAGTAGAATCATATACGAATCGCGCGAAGCCGATGTGAATAAGATAGTTATGAATGATATTCCGGGTGGATTTGAGGCATTTGAACTTGCAGCTAAGTTTTGTTATGGAATTGCTGTTGATTTGACGGCCGGAAATATCTCAGGACTAAGATGTTCGGCTGAGTATTTAGAAATGACGGAAGATTTAGAAGAAGGGAATCTTATATTCAAAACTGAAGCATTTCTTAGCTATGTTGTTTTATCGTCATGGAGAGATTCTATAGTAGTTTTGAAAAGCTGCGAAAAGCTTTCACCGTGGTCGGAGAATCTTCAAATTGTTCGAAGATGCAGCGAGTCCATAGCTTGGAAAGCTTGTGCTAATCCAAAAGGGATAAGGTGGTCTTACACTGGAAGAACATCGTCGAAAATTTCAAGTCCGAGATGGAATAGCAATAGTAATAGTAATGATATGATGAAAGATGCGACGAGTCCGAGTAGGAATCAACTAGTTCCTCCTGATTGGTGGTTTGAAGATGTTTCGATTCTTAGGATTGATCATTTTGTTAGAGTCATTACTGCTATTAAGGTAAAGGGAATGAGATTTGAGTTAATTGGTGCTGCAATAATGCATTATGCAACCAAATGGCTACAAGGGTTGGTTAGTGAAACAACAATCACATTCGATGAAACGAGCAATTACGGTATCAGTAATAGTCATAGTAGTAGTAGTGGTAGCGGTAGTAACTGGATTAAAGGCGGCGGTGGTGGACTTCATATGATTGTATCGGGCGGAACAAGAGACGAAACTTCAACTATTCAAGCTAAAGAACAGAGAATGATCATTGAGAGTCTCATAAGCATTATTCCTCCTCAGAAAGATACGGTTTCGTGCACTTTTCTTCTCAGGCTTCTGAGAATGGCAATCATGTTAAAAGTTGCACCTGCATTGGTTACTGAATTAGAGAAAAGAGTTGGAATGCAATTCGAGCAAGCTACACTTTCTGATCTTTTGATTCCTTGTTATAATAAAGGAGAAACAATGATGTATGATGTTGATCTTGTTTTGAGGCTACTTGAGCATTTTCTTGTTCAAGAACAAACCGAAAGTTCTAGTCCAACAAGACAGTCGATTTCCGAGAAACATTTAGGAAGTAACCTTAATGCAAAAGCAAGAGTAGCAAGACTTGTTGATAGCTATCTTACAGAAGTTTCAAGAGATCGAAACCTTTCATTGACAAAATTTCAAGTACTTGCTGAAGCTTTACCAGAATCGGCTAGAACCTGCGATGATGGACTTTATAGAGCTATTGATTCCTATCTTAAGGTAATTATTTTCTGTTTCTAGAACATGTGATTTCGATTTTGATCTTGATTTCTACGGTTGTTGGATTTCTTAACGGTGAAGTAAACTAACAGGCACATCCGACACTATCTGAGCACGAAAGGAAACGACTCTGTCGCGTAATGGATTGTCAGAAACTCTCAATTGACGCATGCATGCACGCGGCACAAAACGAAAGGCTTCCATTAAGAGTAGTTGTGCAAGTCCTATTCGCGGAACAGGTAAAGATAAGTACGGCACTATCCAATCCTTCTTTGAAAGATGTTGAAACCTTTACTCAACCAATGGTTACAAACCGAAAAACGCTACTCGAGGCGACTCCGCAATCGTTCCAAGAAGGATGGGAAGCTGCTAAAAAAGATGTCAACACACTAAAATTTGAGCTGGAGAGTGTGAAAGCTAAGTACTTGGAGCTTCAAAATGATATGGAAAATTTGCAGAAACAATTTGATAAGATGTTAAAGCAGAAGCAAAGTTCAGCTTGGAGTAGTGGTTGGAAGAAGTTGAGCAAACTAACAAAGATGACAAATGTGCAAAACCATGATCATGATACTTTGCCTCGGAGTAATAATTTAGCTTCTGTTGAACAGAACAGAAAGAGTACTAGAAGATGGAGAAATTCAATATCTTGATTCCTATATGATGAGAAAATTTTCAATTGATTCTAGCCATATTGTAATTTGAGGCCAAGTCAATCACATTTTGAAGTATGAATTCTACTGGAATTTCATATTCAATCACAAAATGATTTTGCTTAAGTTATATGTAAAAATCTTTTGATTCTATCCTCTTTGTATTCATTTCCAAGGACATATTCAATCAGAAAAAAAGAGAGACTCGTGTATCAGAATATTTATAGAAGATAGTGTTATATTATGAGGATGAAATTAAGTAGCAAAACAAAGTTCATAAGTAGGGAAGAGAGAAGAAAGAAACAAGGTTTGTACTCCAACATAAAATCATGTCATCATGCATGAATAAATATCAGTTTAATAGAACGATAGAAACTTTGAAAAGAAAAATTTATTCAATATGTACTTGTTATGTTCGGAAACCAGGATTGTTGATTGTTGTCCTTGATGTGGTGGTGCAGACTATTCCGATGCAGTTGTGCGGGGTGGACCTGTAAAGTTAACATTCTAATGCCAAAGTCAGTGAGTGAATGAAAAGGGGGTCGAATGAATTATGAATAGAATCGTATCTTTTTACTGCTCACGTGGTGGTTTATACGATAGACGTCAATTGGGCATATGCAGTATTGGGCCTGTGATTTTGCAAACCCATTCTTCTTTGCTAAGCTCTCACGACCTCCGATTTTGCTACCTGTCCTTTATATTTGGGTCCTTAGTTCATGATTCATCTTCATTTTCGAGTTTCTCTTTCTTCTAGTTGTTTCTTCCTCGCGCTTCTTTACGTAAGTACCATTTCTAACCCTTTTTCCCTTGCATTTCTTGCTTAGCTTTCTTGTCTTTACTATAGCAAATATAAAAAGTATTCCTAAAACATAATGAATGAACTCGATGATTGTGATTCTCCATTATCAACAAAATATGAAAATCTAGATGTCCCAAATGTCGATCCTATAAAAGTTAATAATCTCAACCCTAATTTTGTTGTACTTAGTGTTTCTAATAAGGGAGTTACTGATGGATTTTTTGAAGAATATGGAGAGGGGAATTCCAGAAACCTTGATTTGATGGAGGTGGTTATCTGTCTTTCTTCCTCTATCAAGTCTCACATGGATCTAGATGTTACTATAACAGCTTAAGATGAGCAGGGAACTCTCTTTTTCGCCACTACGTTTATAGTGTTACATGGCAGAGACCTTAGTGACATAAATATTAGGGGTCATCTTGTAAAGTCATGCTTCAACAAGTTTATGTTTTGATGATTACAAACATCAGGATCAAGGCAAAAGACATTATCAAAAAGAAGAAGAAAAAGTATCTACTTAAATGGACTTTTGGCTTGCATGCTAAGTTACTCCTAAAGAAGAGTTTGGTATTTGATCTTCATTATAGTACAAGACTCCAATTCAATATAGTATGTTACTATAGTGTTCAAAATATATCTAACATTACGCATACATGTTTCATGGCTTTGAATATCACTAGCATTGCATCAAAGCAGGGTATAGGTAACCTGTTCTTAAAGATCCAGAATGGTTTCCGCAAATCAAAATCTGGTTTTTAAAGACAGTGATAGTAATAACAAGCCTCCATTGTTTTATGGTGAATACTTTGATTTTTGGAAAATCTGCATGAAGACTCATTTAGAAGCACAAGGAGAAGAAATATGGGATGTCATCCAAAATGGTCCATTTGTTCCTACAAGTGTTGTCAACGGTGTTGGATCGTCAAAGCCTAAAGGTTTATGAGATGAAGATGATAAGAAAAAAGCCTTTTATGATAAGAAAACAATCAATCTTCTTCAAGGTGCACTTTGCATGGATGAATTCTTTCGTGTTTCAACATGTACATCGGTAAAGAAAATTTGGGATACTTTGGTTGAAAATTTTAACGGGCTTTTAATTAACATTCCACACCCCTTCTTTACTAAAAATAATAAAACTTAAATGGACCTCCTTATATAATTAAAACTTAATAATTTTTCTGCAATAACTTTCCATACTCGAATCTCATGGGCCATTGGCCAACATGCTTCATAAATGGGCCTACGGATACATGGGTCTTTCTGATTTAGAAAGCCGCACTCTCCTGAATTAAAATACACCTCCCTGTTGACTTGGGTTTAAGAATGAGCCATCAGATACTGCTAAACCATCCTTAATTAAAACATTTCTTTTCTATTTTAACCTTAAAGATAAAGGTAGGGCAAATTTGGAGTACGACAACTGTCCCTATTCAATTATCTTCCAATAGAATAGCGTGAGAACACACGAGCCTTGCACATTTGATTGAGATTTTATTGAATATTTGGAATACCCCGAAATTTGTCCGACAAACATAAGGTTACGCTGATATAGCACACCCTTAAGAGTCTTAAGGAAATAGACAAAGCTGATGATATATCACTTACCAGGATTTGACCACGAGGCAGATGATTTAAATCTTGAGAGAATAATATTGTATGTCTTGGTTTGAATTTGCTTATTCACTGATTTGGAGGACGAATAAAACACTTGATAATGCACGACTGTTTGGAAACTGAGGCAATGGGTTACGTTTGCGAATTGCTGCGTGGAATCTTAGGCGATGAGCTAAATTTAAATTTCGAACATCGCTCCCTAGAGTCTTAGGCAATGATCTATATTGGGGAGTGTCGCACATTACTGCGTGGAGTCTTAAGTAATGGGTGGAAAAAAAGGGAAACACATCGCTGCATGGAGTCTTAGGCAATAAGTCATGTCACACTGCTGCATGGAGTCCTAGGAAATGAATTAAGTTTCGCACATTACTGCTTGGGGTCTTAGGTAATGGGTGGGGAGAGGAAAATAAATCGCTGCATGGAGTCTTAGAAAATGTACTGAGCTTCGCACATTACTGCATGGAGTCTTAGGTAATGAACTATATTGTAGAGGAGAAACATCACTGCGTGGAGTCTTAGGTGATGGGTTGAACACGTCACGACATGGAGTCTTAGGTGGAGGGTCTTATTTGGCTTTCAAACATTGCGGCGTGGAGTCTTATGCAATGTACTGGGTTTTGCATATTACTGCATGGAGTCTTAGGTAATGAATTATGTTGTAGAGAACACATCACTGCATGGAGTCTTAGGTGATGGGCTGAACACATCATTGCATGGAGTCTTAGGTGACGGGTTGGATTGTAGAAAGAAGTGTGCTTTGATGATTGCCTCTTAGATAGCTAAATCGAGGGTGAGATTGCTTACTTGCTGTATGATGTATATGTGTGATGTCTGATATTGATATGGAACCCAAAGTGTATGTGTATTGGGCGTCTGTGTATGCAAAATGTATGCAAAATGTGTGTAAAATGTGTGTATGCCTTGAAATGTTATAAAGATTGTTTCCGACATTTTCTCCTTTAAACCATTGGTTTTGAGTTACCAATTCCTTGGTGATGTATGTTGCATTGTCGTAGTATCTTTGAATTGATTTGAATGCGGTGAAAAGTATTAATAAGTTTTTGATTATTGTATTGCAAGTGTACGTGTAGGTGTAGACGTATGTGTAGACTTTTGTGTTGTAAGTGCAAACGTAGGCATAAACATGTGTATAGACGTAGATGTGGATTTTCTTTTTTGATGTTTTTCTAACCAAAATGATTTTTCGATGTTTTATCAAATGCTTACTTGCTGTATGATGTAAGTGCAAACGTAGGCATAAACATGTGTATAGACGTAGATGTGGATTTTATTTTTTGATGTTTTTCTAACCAAAATGATTTTTCGATGTTTTATCAAATGCTTACTTGCTGTATGATTGCCTCTTAGATAGCTAAATCGAGGGTGAGATTGCTTACTTGCTGTATGATGTATATGTGTGATGTCTGATATTGGTATGGAACCCAAAGTGTATGTGTATTGGGCGTCTGTGTATGCAAAATGTATGCAAAATGTGTGTAAAATGTGTGTATGCCTTGAAATGTTATAAAGATTGTTTCCGACATTTTCTCCTTTAAACCATTGGTTTTGAGTTACCAATTCCTTGGTGATGTATGTTGCATTGTCGTAGTATCTTTGAATTGATTTGAATGCGGTGAAAAGTATTAATAAGTTTTTGATTATTGTATTGCAAGTGTACGTGTAGGTGTAGACGTATGTGTAGACTTTTGTGTTGTAAGTTCAAACGTAGGCATAAACATGTGTATAGACGTAGATGTGGATTTTCTTTTTTGATGTTTTTCTAACCAAAATGATTTTTCGATGTTTTATCAAATGCTTTTATTTGTCAATTCCCCCGAAATGATTTCGACACAGTATTTGTCAAACTTCAAGATTTTTGGTCAACATCCTCATTTTGAAGTATATTTTATCATTTGATCAAGGGTTGATCATGATTCATCAAGGATTGCTCATAATTCATCAGGACTCAAAAGTTGTTAAATTAGGGTTTTGCAGGAAAAGTCAACTCAACTTTGACCAAGCATAACTTTCTCATATTTTATGAGAAATGATCCATCCAAAGCTCATTTTGAAGAGGATGCAATTCCCTCCAATCCATCTTAAGCTCCCAAGTTCAAAATATTCACTCACAAGAAGTTATGAATTTGGACATTATAAGTCATTTTGAAAAGTCAACAAAAACACTTTTTTTGTCAAAGCTTCATACATGAGTATGGAATATAAAATTTAGATGAGACCAAAAGGGTTGATTAGAGGACATCTCAAACTTTCTAAAAAGTCCAAGAACACCTTCAAAGATTCAAAATTGAGGAAGTTATGCATTGGTGAAGTTGACCTTTTTTACAAAATTGCCAAAAGTCAACTATGCTCAAAACTTCAAATTTTGCCAAATGGGCCCAATATTTTTCACTTGTTTTGAGTTGGAAACATATCCTACGAGCTCTAGTATTTGCCACTTGTCTATATCTTATTTTTATTATTTATTTTGATTTTCATTTGAATTAATTTGATTTAAATCAAAACAAATCATATAAAATCAAAAACATTGAAAACTAGAGATTGGGTGATTGCACTCCTTTACAAA